TTTCTAATCCTAATACATGCGTTACAAATTGATACAATGGAGCACTATGTCAAGATGGTTTTGGGGGAGAGATATAACTAAACATTTGTCCTGAGAAGGGCCAAGGCAAATAGCTGACAATTAATCCTTTATGTTTCATTAATGCTTTCAGGTGATTGCGGTGTGAAATGGGGTTATAATTGATTTAGATTTTAGATCTTATCTATTCATGTTTATCTAGTTACTAGTACCAAAATAAAGCCAATAAAAAAAGAAGAGAGCAATATAACAGAATGATGTAAATCTATCAAGTCTTTCGTACACCAGATTTGATTAATAATGGCTATATATGAAACAAGAAAAAGAATTTCATGAAGTGAAATGCCATATGAAAGCTACGATAGATCAGTTATAATTAAAAAACAAAGATAACATTGAAATTGAAACTACTTATATAATTATTCTTGGTGAAATGAATCTCACTGATTGTTGAAGAAAATGTTAAGAGAGGTGAGATTTTACTCCTTTTGCTTAAAAATTATCCGCAATTGAAGAGGGAGCTCATGATGTGAATATAGATCAATCCTATTTCTCCATAACTGTTTGTGATATTAAAAATAGGATAGTGTCTGTAAGTATGCATCTCTGACCAGAACAAAAAATTCTTTAAGAGATAAAACAGAGATTCAAAGAGAAAACTGAAAGGAAGAAGGTAAAAGAAACACCTGTATGTGTAGATAAAAAGCAAGTTGTACAATCACTGCTCGAACAGCTAAGATACACATTGCTGCAACCAATGCAAACCTTTTCCATCTTAATAGAGGCAACTGAAATAAACCCAGTAGATAACCAATTTGGTAAGGATGTCAGACTATTATACTGTAGTTCTAATGCATATCTAGAGACCAAATGAAAAGCCAAAAGAGTATCAGATAATAGAAGTGACTGTCTCTCAGTATCTTAAATTAACAAATTAATCTCCATATTCTATCCCAAGACCAATTGTCAAGTTAGATTTCATTAGCTTTTAGATATCATAGTGAAATGCATTGGAAGGAATGTCAATACGAACATTATTCTACTTAAAACATACTAGTGAATATAAGACAATAGGATAATGAATGATATCGAAGGTTGGGTAATATGAAACCAAGAGAACATCATTAAGTAAGTCTAAAGAATGCCAAATCTTGCAGGCACATTCTCTGGTGGTGCCCATTTGCACATCAACTTTGGAGTATGACGTATGGTTTGTTGGGTTTGAATTGGGTTGTTGCTGATTCTGTTAAGGAGAAGTTTTGTGTTTGGAGAGGAAATTCAAGGGGATGAAAGGACAAGTCTTATCCTCATGGCTACTTTTTGGGTCATCTGGAACGAGAGGATCGAAATGGCTTTTGAAGGGAAATCTAACTTTGTTAACTTCAAAGATTTTTGGTTCCAGATCCTAAACTTTTTTATCAAGGGTGGTCATCTGCTGTATTCTAACGAGAAATTTAGAGACCCTTTAGATATTTTGATAAACTTGTAAATCTTGGTACATGAGTTGCACCCTCTTAGTGCTTTTGAATTTATAAATTGTTTATTTTCAAAAAAAATTCCAGTAATTACTCTTGATAACAACACATCTAGATCAAGCATTCATAACATGTACGTGGGAGAGGTGCATGTTATATGGAGTATTGATATGAACAGATAGCCAACCATACTTTATCTTGCAAATTTATGTTTGCAACTTATATACTATTACAGCCCTAACACTATTCTCCTTCAAACATAAAGCTTGTAAATGAGCAGGAGGACTGATTTGGATATGGTCCTAGCCTTCATCAGTTCTTGTATTAAGGTCGCTGCTAATTACGAATATTTTGGATGCATGAAAAAGATATAAAGAACAATTACATGTAATGCATTAGGAAGTAAACATTCTTTTATCTCATACTAGTTGCACGATAATTAAAAACATCTGAAATGTAAGAAAATCTACGCAACTCACATTGATTGAATATGCAGTGCCAAGTATGAAACTGATGAAAAGGGCCCAAAACAATGGCCACGAACCGACAATCCATCCAATAAAAAAACTCTGCAAACAAATAAAGAGATTTGGTTAGGACTGTTTCAGTTGAGTATCAGTAGCAAAGCACAAAATTTTGTGGTAAGCATATAGATCCCTGCAAGTTGGATAATTGGAGCATACAGGCTACTTTTAGTTGAATCCCTTAATCTAACTAATACAAAAATAAGAAAATTTAGTTGTATTTCCCAGAGTTGTTACTAAAATTCAGGATTTATAAGAAAATTAATTTGACACCCAAACCCGCACTCCTAGAAAAGGAAGAAGCCATCAGACAATATGAGAAAGAGGATGAAAACTAAAATCCATACTGAAACACTCCATTTTATATTCAGATGCACATAATTACAAGTGGCCACTACAATTTAATACCCTATGGTTTGGGGTTTTTAAATCTGATATATAAGGTTTAATTTTTTAGTAGTTTCAGTATTCATGGTTTGCACTTATTTACTTAGTTTATATACTTCTATAATTTGGATTATGAAAAATTTAGCACGTAAAAACCTCATGTTAGACAAGCCAAAATGAAAAAAAAAAATTTATTAGTTTAATGCACACAAACTCCCATAAAGCTTCCCTAGTTTGGGATTTGTTTTTTCCTTTCACG